CGGCTCTAGTGAACGGGATGCTAATGTCTCGGCTCTAGTGAACGGGATGCTAATGTCTCGGCTCTAGTGAACGGGATGCTAATGTCTCGGCTCTAGTGAACGGGATGCTAATGTCTCGGCTCTAGTGAACGGGATGCTAATGTCTCGGCTCTAGTGAACGGGATGCTAATGTCTCGGCTCTAGTGAACGGGATGCTAATGTCTCGGCTCTAGTGAACGGGATGCTAATGTCTCGGCTCTAGTGAACAGGATGCTAATGTCTCGGCTCTAGTAAACGGGATGTTAATGTCTCGGCTCTAGTGAACGGGATGCTAATGTCTCGGCTCTAGTAAACGGGATGTTAATGTCTCGGCTCTAGTGAACGGGATGCTAATGTCTCGGCTCTAGTGAACGGGATGCTAATGTCTCGGCTCTAGTAAACGCGATGCTAATGCCTCGGTTCTGACTATTTTTCCTTTTTATTACTTCTGGGCATTGTCTTACACACTGTCATTAGAAAACCACTGTTTTAGGGGTCTAAATAAAAAGATTACGGCAGTAAGTCAAACACAAAAAATGTTACCTTCATTGCTGTGTTGGGGGTTTGGGTAGCCCTCGTTGTGGTGRTACATGGAGGGACAACCAGGCACATCTGGTAACAAAAATAAAAGCAACAAACTTGTAATATTTAATTTATAGCATGTTACAAAAAAGATCTTTAGACTCCTCGTAATGTCTGTGTTCTCCGGAGCAATGTGTATTTGAAAAAGAAAAGCTGCATTGAATGGATTTACAGTATGATCACCTTCAGCGCTGCAAGGACAAACGCAACATTTATGGTATCACTTCTGCCCCTGCAGGTATTTTTAGGTCACGAGGAGACAACAGTACACAGCGCCTCATCTGGGTTCATCATGACGACTCAAAACACACTTCATGTTGCTCTTAAACAACCATTCAAGCAAACGTCTCCGCAAACACTTTAAACGTTATTTAAATACATAATGAGTCTGCAAAGACTATTATGCTTCATTTCCTCTGGCTGAGCTGCTCACCTTTGTTTGTGTTCTGTTCTTTTTCTTTACCTGTCTGTTCGCACAAAAACAGGTGAGTCACCGGCTATTCTCTCTCTGCTCTTTTATTTTTTTTGGCCATTTGTCAACAGCATGAGTGAGAAAAAAAGAAGCGAGTGGATAAGAAGCGAAACGCGCAGCTCTTGATGTGACTCACTCCTGAGGAATGCAGGCGAAGCACTGTGGTTGTGATAAGACGCCACGAGGGAAAATCTAAGCCTCCGATGCAGGGCAGCAGCACTCCATCACACTGTAAATAATATGTCTGCCAGCCGTGGCGGCGTCCCACCTGGGAGCGACGGGTAGATTGGGTGTGAGAGCGTCGGGGTGAATTGTTTACTCCGTGACGCGAACATTTTGTGTCTTTTATGCGACACAACAGCAGCTCTTCAGAGTTGGAACACCAGTTTGTTTGTTAAAACTATACGACTTCTACACTCGTTTTAAAATGGACAAAAAACTTCTGGAATCTGACTTTATTTGGTTTAAAATGCCTGTTTAATCTGATTCATCATTAATATGAGGCGCCAAGTGTAAAATGAAATGTTAAAAAAATTTCACTAAAATATTTTTCATTAGTTAGCTCAAATTTTTAGTGTTAAAGATTTTCCACTAACATTTTACTGTTGATTAGCTCACTGTTCTTAAATTTAGCTATTTGCTTTTAGTAAATGTTAAATTTAAATCTTAAAAAATATATTTAAATATTAAATCCTAAATGTAAAAGTTAAACCTTAAAAGCTAGCGCTAGCAGCGGCCACTATTGCCGTTTGTCGCAGAATGATGACATCATCCTGGTTATCTGAYGCCATTTTCTGCTAAAGTTTCTAACGCTGCTAAAAATATTTAAAATCTAAACTCAAAAAAACAATAAGGGTGGTCCCTGTGGTCCAGCAGGTTGAAGTGCAGCTCGCACACTGACTGCATCTGCAAGTTTGATGTCTTGTAGGGAAGCTTTAGCTGCATTGGAGCACTAGCGGTTGCTATTGTCTCAGAATGATGACATCATAACATGAGCAGTGGACCAACAAACAAAGGCTGCGTTCCATTTTAAAATACCTAAATTTGAACTTCAACATTTAAGGTTTGACTTTTACATTTAGATTTAAACATTAAGATTTAGGATTTAATATTTAAAT